TGAGCAAATGCTTATCTAAACACGCTTTAGTATATATATATATATATATATATATATATATATATATATATATATATATATATATATATATATATATATATATATATATATATATATCTTATACTGCTGAGTTAGGTGAGCATGATGATGTCATACTCACCTAACGTTAAATAGCCTGCTGCCGGGGGCTTCAGTACATACATCGACTGACAAATAGCCTGACTTGCAGTGGAGTGCTGCTACATCGACTGAGTGTTTTGTATGGGTCAGCAACCTTTTCATTCATTGTTCTTCGTTTTCCCTCATCGTTTTCTAAAAACGCTCACTTAATTTATATATATATATATATATATATATATATTTATTTATTTATTTGAAAACAGCAGAAGGACCCGAAGGCCACTATTACTGAGTATACATTAACAAAATGTTAAATTGTATCAAGTGCTGGACAAGTTACTACAAAATTGTATTAACTTGAACAAAGCAGTACAGCAAGACGTTTCTTAAACATCAAGACAGACGATGCAGACACCATATCCTCTGATAAACTATTCCATACATTAACAATTCGATTAGAAAAGAAACACTTTGTGCTGTTTAAACTATGGTGTTTGTACAGTTTAAAGTTATGACCGCAATTATTCAAGTAAGAATTGAGAATACAAATGTTTGATAGGTCAGTGTTCAGTTTTCCGTTAAGAATTTTGTAGCATAAAACTAAATCTTTTAACACTCGTCAATATTCTAACGCTAAGCTTTAGTATGGCTAGACGCTTATCATAGGAAACTGACCACAGACCAGCAATTCTTTTAATGAAGAAATGCTGCACTTTCTCAACTTTATTAATCAGGCAAATAGTGTAAGGTGACCATACTGAAGAGCAATATTCAAGCATAGGTCGTACATAAGTACAGTAGGCTTTAACCATCAGCAATCTATCTTGTGAATAAAAAGATTTTAAAATAAGAAAAGCTTTTGACATAGCTTTATGTACGATAAGATTGATATGTTGATTGAATTTGAGATTTCTATCAATGGTAACTCCAAGATCTCATATACAGTTAACATGGGCAAGTTCATCGTTGTTTATGGTGTAAACACGCTGGGCTATGTTTTGACTCTGGTTAGCAATAGTACAGACAAAGGATTTTTCAGTTGCTATTTGGAGTTGCCAAGTACAACTCCATTCGTACAAACGATTAACAGCTGTGTGAAGGTCTGACTGAAGGCCATGTACATCATAGACTGAATATAATTTAATGTCATCAGCAAAAAGTTTAAGTTTGACATCAAGCTGTTTATTAATGTGGCTCGCATCATTTATAAACAATAAGAATAGAGTAGGTCCAAGAACACTCCCCTGTGGAACACCGCTTGTTACAGATATAACATGGGAAGTAACATTGTTTAAATTTACCACCTGTGATCTCATGTGCAGAAAATTAGTTAGCCAATTCAGAAGATTGCCAACTATTCCATAAGCAGGTAATTTCATTAGTAACTTAGGATGTGAAACTGAATCGAAAGCTTTCTTAAAATCAAAATAGATAATATCTGTTGGAATACGACGCTGAAGATTTAAAGTCCAGTCATGAAGACTTTCTAGAATATTAGTACAGGTACTACGTTTACGAATAAAACCATGCTGCTCTTTTGTGATTAGGTTATTGAGTAAGAGATAATTAATCAGTTTGTTATTAATGATTCTTTCCATTACACGACAACAAGTAAATGTCAAGGAGATAGGTCTATAATTACCTGGATCAACTGTTAGTCCTTTTTTGTGAATTGGAATAACGCTTGCTACTTTCCAGTCTAGCGGTATAGCACCATCTTTAAATGAGGTATCAAATATATGGCTTAAAGGAATCGATAAACTATTGGCACAATTCTTTAGGAAAACATTGGGAATGCCATCTAGACCAGTAGATGTGGTGGGTTTAAGTGCTCTAAGTGCTTTTTTGACTGTAGAAGGAGAGAAGTTAATAAATGACAAACAAGTTGAATGTACGTTAACACGATCCGTAAACTTTGGTGATAAACCATTATCGACTGTAAAAACACTTGCAAAAAAGTTATTAAAAATACATGATATTTCTTCTTTATCATGACAAAGGGTATTATTGGATTGATGAATGTCATTGAGTTTACTACAGGTTTTGAGTTTTCCATTGACAAAATTAAAGAAACTGCCAAGGTTGTTTTTGCGTATCATCTTAAGTTCTTTTGCTGCATGATACTTTCTAATGGAATCAGAACAATGTGCGGCAATTGATTTATAAGCTGCTTCGTCATTAGGTTTATCTGTTACTTTTGATCTTTTCCATGCCATTACTTTGTTGTTTATCAACCTTTTTAACATAATAAGGATAGTGTATTTTATGTGATGATTTTATGCCAACAAGCTTCAATATTAAAACATGTTTGAAAGATAATACTCCAATCGACCGATTTCAGATATTTATTGATAACTTGGTAAGCTGCATTTTTTCAACA